TGATGTGGGGTTTGAAGGCAGCTGGCCCAGGAGCGCTATTTATTGCATATTTATTGTTTGAATGTCACCATCAGAGAGAAGGGGAAGGGCGACCAGGGAGGGGTCTGGCCAAGCCGGCCTGCAGGAAGATCTGACTCAGGCTACTGTGGGCAGGGACTCCCACCAAGCCGAGCTGAATGGAACCAGCCAGCTGCAGCCTGACTTTTTTCAATAAAACATTGTGTACTTCTGGGCCTCCCGCTGCCCCGGCTCTGTTTCCCCTGGCACCAAGGGAAGGAGGCGGAACTGAACCCAGGCCCAGAGCTGGCTCCCTGAGGCTGTGCCCCTTTCCGGAAATCTCTGGCCACCCCCATTGGCCAGGCTGTCCCTCCCACTGACCCTGGGGCCCCTCCCACCCCGACTCCAGATAAGGCGAGCCCGGGACTGCTTCACTGGGCACTAGGCACAAGGGCTGGAATGGGGCCGCCCGGCTCCCCGCGGCAGTGGGTCCTGCTGCTGCTGGGGCTGCTGCTTCCCCCCGCCGCCCCCTTCTGGCTCTTCAATGTGCTCTTCCCCCCGCACACCACGCCCAAGGCTGAGCTCAGTAACCACACACGGCCCGTCATCCTCGGTAAGCCCCCACCAGGCCCCTGATACACCAGGGCAGACCTTGGGGAACCTGGGCCCCAGCCCCTAGTAGCAGAGCCTGCTGAGGCCCTTCTGCCCTTGCATTAGCCCTGATCCCTGCCTCAGCATCTGGAGGGGCCAAAGGCTTGTCCTGCAGAGAAATCAACCCCTTCTCGCACCACACTGTTCTCGTGTCTCGGAGTTGTCTCCCCGAGGTGGGTGGAGTAGAGGGTGGGTGTGCCTGAGGGCTTGGCCGGGGCATTACAAGCTGTGGTCAGCTGTAGCCACCGGACCCTGGTCCAAGCCCCACCACTCCTTCCTCAGCCCCCACCCCGGCAAGGACAAGGTGCCCAGCCCAGGTGAGCAGGAGAGGCTCATCAGGTCCTGCCCCTACTCCTAGGCCCGGCCCCACTCCCTTGTACTATTTGTTCTCCCCTTGGACTTTGGCAGTGATGGAGAGTCACGCTACATGTTTGCTTGGTGGGGGCAGGGGTCAGTGGCCTTGGCCCCTGTACCTTCCCTGACCGAGGGGAGCCTGGGCTTTGCGGGGACGGGGCAGGGGATGTGATCAGAAAGAGAGAGTCTTGTCCTTCATCCCTGGGGGTGGAGGGTGTGGGAGATGAAGGGGCGGGGCTGGTCACTGTAGTGTCGGGGAGGTGAGACCGGGGTGGGGTCCACTGCAGGGAAATGGGAGGGATCCAGAGTGAAGGCTGGTGCCTGCAGTGCCTGGCTGCCTGGGGAATCAGCTGGAAGCCAAGCTGGATAAACCAAATGTGGTGAACTGGATGTGCTACCGCAAGACAGACGACTTTTTCACCATCTGGCTGGATCTCAATATGTTCCTACCCGTTGGGGTAGACTGCTGGATCGATAACACCAGGTTCGTGCCATCCCCTCTGGCCTAGCCCCCCACCCTACTCCTTGGTTGCCGCTCCGCTGACTGTCCCACTGCCCCCAGGGTTGTCTACAACCGCAGCTCTGGGCGAGTATCCAATGCCCCCGGTGTACAGATCCGTGTTCCCGGCTTTGGCAAGACCTACTCTGTTGAGTATCTGGACAACAGCAAGTTGGCAGGTGTGTGTGTTGCAGGAAAGTGTGGGGCTCTAGGCTTGGTGGGCTTGAAGGAGCCACAGCCAGAACCCCCAGTGCCACTGCCTCGCCCACAGGTTACATGCACACACTGGTTCAGAACCTGGTCAACAATGGGTATGTGCGGGATGAGACGGTGCGGGCCGCCCCCTACGACTGGCGGCTGGAGCCCAGTGAGTGTCTCTGTGTATAGGGGGCTTGGGGCAGGGCAGGTGGCCCCTAGTCCCAGCTGTGCTGACCCATCCACCCCCCCCCTGCAGGCCAGCAGGAGGAGTACTACCTGAAGCTTGCTGGGCTAGTGGAGGAAATGCACGCTACCTACAGAAGGCCTGTCTTCCTCATTGGGCACAGCCTTGGCTGCCTGCACTTGCTCTATTTCTTACTGCGCCAGCCCCAGGCCTGGAAGGACCGCTTCATCGATGGTTTCATCTCTCTTGGGGCTCCCTGGGGTGGCTCCATCAAGCCCATGATAATCTTGGCCTCAGGTGAGAGGGCCTCTGATCACTTGTGTCCCGTGGGGAGGGGTGGGGGGTGGAATGAAGCTGACCGTGGGCCTGCCCTCACTCCTGTTTCTTCTCGCAGTGCTAGGCTGGGGGTGTTGTCTACCACCTCTGGGGCACAGCCCCTTTCATTGGCCCTCTGAGAGCAGTGAGCCTGGCCTGGACCATTAGAGTGTCTCCCAACAGTGTCTCAGCGATGACAAAGGGGAAGTAAACAAAGAGGAAGTTAACCCCAGCAATCTGACTCATTGCTGAGGTCTGTTCCTTGTAGCCTCAGGTCTTACCCACTCAGCCTTCGGCTGCCTTCTGCTCCCAGGAGCCCCTTTGCCCAGGGATCTGCCCTAAGCCAGGGCCAGACCCCGGGAGCCCCTCTTGCCCTTCCCCAAGGAGTGGCATAGCTACCACCTGCGGAGCACCCACTGTATTCTGGGCACAGCCAGACGTGGCCTTACCCCTAGGAGCTTAAGTGAAGGAAACACTCCCCAGACTATATCAATGAGTGTCAAACAGAGATTGGTCTCATTTCATTCTTCCCAGAACACAGCTCTGAGCCTTGTGCAGCACAGGCCACAGGGGCCGACAGACACTTGCCTGAGAGAACTGCCAGCACCATACCCCACTGTTCACACACACAGGAAACCCCTCCCTGCCCTCCTGTTGAAGATCTAGAGCTCTGCCTCACAGAGGTGCCACTAGGGCTTTTCACTTAACAAGTACACATGAAGCCCCTCCTGACTGCCAGGCCGGTTCTAGTCCATGACTTGGAGTTGATGTTTGGAGTGGGCAAGACAAAGTTGAGCATCCAGCTGAGCTTGGGCTGGGGGGCAAGTTGTGGGCCGGGGGTAGCCAGGACTGGCTCCCTGCCCTACCTTGCTCTGTGTCCACAGGTGACAACCAGGGCATCCCAATCATGTCCAGCATCAAGCTGAAAGAGGAGCAGCGCATGACAACAGCGTCCCCCTGGATGTTTCCCTCCAGCCAGGCATGGCCCGAGGACCACGTGTTCATTTCCACCCCCACCTTCAACTACACAAGCCGTGACTTGCAGCGCTTCTTTACAGACCTGCACTTTGAGGAAGGCTGGTACATGTGGTTACAGTCACGTGACCTGCTGGCAGGGCTCCCAGCACCTGGAGTGGAAGTATACTGTCTGTATGGCGTGGGCCTGCCCACACCCAGCACCTACATCTTTGACCATGGCTTCCCCTACACGGACCCTGTGGGTGTGCTCTATGAGGACGGGGATGACACTGTGGCCACGCGCAGCACCGAGCTCTGTGCCCAGTGGCAGGGCCTCCAACAGCAGCCTGTGCACCTGCTGCCTCTGCCTGGGGTACAGCACCTCAATATGGTCTTCAGCAACCAGACACTGGAGCACATCAATGCCATCCTGCTGGGTACCTACCGAAATAGCACCGCCGTACCCCCAACTGCCAGCCCAAGGCCCATGCCCCCTGAATAAAGACCTTCCTTTGCTGCTATAACCCCTGACGTGTGTTATGGGTTCAGGGAAAGGCACTAGGGTCCTCACACCAGGATTCATTCATCTGCAGACCTGTTGCTTTGTGGAGCACAGGGCAAGAAGAGCTTTGCTAGAGCCTGGGATTGAATTGGGCACCTTGAGATATACAGCTTCCCACTCTTCTGGTTGAGCTATTTAAGCAGCCTCTCTGTGCCTGCCTCTGCTCTGGGCATGGGGACTGGAGGGAGCTGCACACACAGCTGTAGAATGGGGGTACGTGGAGCCTAGGGTACAGGATGGAGAATATCTGAGCTGCCCCTCCTAGCTCCCAAAAGGGCAGGTGAGACCCCACCTCTAGACAGAGACTTTTGAGTGCTAGGTGGGTGACAGAAGCACAAGAGTTTAGCATCTAGGAGAGTGACAGCCACTAAATAGGTCATTTCAATATTGAAGATTTAATTAATGGAGCTAAGTGATCTGAGAGAAAAGGTTAGGGAGGAACAAGGTGGTGATTCTTATGGGTCAGGGAAGGCTTCCCAGAGGAGGTGGTGCCTGTGCTGAGATCAGATGGAATGAGAAGGGTAACTGTAAAGACTGGTTTCAACCTAAGAGCAGCATGCAGCTGATACAGGGTTTAACCAGGGAAAGGGTGTGACCAGATCTCCAATCTAGAAAAGAGCCCCCTCTCTGCAGGGCAGAGTGTAGCCTGGGGGTGGGGGGTGAGGGGCAGGAAGTGTGGGGAAACCAGAGAGGCCAGTGCAGTGTCCAGGGGAGAGGATGCTAGCTGAAACAAGCAGTAAGTAGGAGAAAGAAGTGGATAATGGGTCATTTGGGATGTGAAATAAGGCTTAGCCATGGGTAGAGCCCAGCATGCCTACGAGCCACCAGATGGACACCTACGGTGCCCCTCTTGAGAGAGGGAAGACAGCATCCGAGACATGGAAGACGGAAGGATCAGCATCACCTTGGCCGAGGACTGAGCCTCCGTGTTTGAGGTTTTAGGAAGAAGGCAAAGGTAGCAAAAGAGAGGCAGGAGTTGGGAGAATGACAAATGGCAGCCATGACTGATGATGTTGGAAGGCCACTAACAATAACAGAGACCTGGTCAATGTGACAGCCTCAGGACATTGGGACCTGAGGTTAGAGTTGGGGTCAGGGTGGGCAGAGCTCGGGGCTCAGGCTGGACAGTGGCCAGAGAGGAGGGATCTGTCCCTCTGTTCAGACAGAGGGCCCAGGAGCAGCATGGAGAGCCAGGCAAGGGGCATCTCCCCCTTCCCAAGCTGCCTAGGACCAGAGCTGAAGGTGAAAGTGAAAGAGAAGATGCAGAAAAAAGGGGCTGGCATGCTCTGAGGGAAGGTGAAAGCGAAAGGAGGAAGCTCAGTAGTGCAGCCCGAGAGAGGTCAAGGCTTCGGCCTTCCTCCGTGTTGATCCCACTCCTCTGATCCCCTGCCCACCCGGAGATGCAGAAGACAGCGCCAGAACCCCAAAAGGGCTTCTCCTTCGAAAACTGCGAGAGGTGAGTGGGGGGATGGTTGGTTCCCCAGCTGCCTACGCCCTCAGTGGGGGCTTCCGGGAGTGGGAGCCCCAGGGTCTTTAAAATTCCTGGGGGCGAGGGTGGGGGAAGGTACGTGTGTGGAACGATTTGGGTTCCCAGGCTTACCCGAAAGGTGAGGGTAACCGGGACGGAGTTAGGGGATGTGATGACGGTCCCAGAAGAACTGAAAGCTGGGTTTCTCCCCTCCGTTTCCAGAAACGCAGCCTTAGAACGCTCCCTCCCGGGGCTCCGTGTCCCTCATGCACGCAAGACCGGAACCACCATCGCAGGCCTTGTGTTCCGAGTGAGTAGGGCGTTGGGATTGTAACACTCAGAGGAGCGGCCGGGTATGGGAGGTGGGCACTGAACCAATGGGTCCTCCCCCTCCCCCCCAGGACGGGGTCATCCTGGGCGCGGATACGCGGGCCACTAACGATTCGATCGTGGCGTACCAGAGCTGCGAGAAGATCCACTTCATCGCCCCTAAAATCTAGTGAGCATTCCCCCGCCCAGTTCCCCCCTCAAGAACCGCCCCCTCATTCCCATCCCGGGTCCCAGAACATCCATAGTCCTGCCCACACGAACCCTCCCTTCGCCTTCAGCTGCTGTGGGGCTGGAGTTGCCGCGGACGCAGAGATGACCACGCGGATGGCGGCGTCTAACATGGAGCTACACGCGCTGTCCACAGGCCGCGAGCCCCGCGTGGCCACGGTCACCCGCGCTTTGCGCCAGACGCTCTTCCGGTGCTGGGGCGGGGCTAAAATGATCCTGGGGAGGGGCAGTTGCGGGGAGGGCAGGGCTGAGAGGAGGCTTGACAGGAGAAAGGGCGGGGCCTCGAGGTCCGAGAGACCGGAAGAGGATGGCCTAAGAGGAGCTAAGAGAGTGGCAGGAAGGAACGCTGTTGGTCACGGGGCGCCAGACCACGGGAAGGGGCGGGGCTCGGGTGCAGGGGTGTTATCGAGGAGGGGCGGGACCTAGATTTCTGTGCGTTCGACTGACCGCACCCACTCCGCGAAAAGGTACCGGGGCTACGTGGGCGCCTCGCTGATTGTGGGCGGCGTAGACTTCACCGGACCGCAGCTCTACTGCGTGCACCCCCACGGCTCCTACAGCCGTCTGCCCTTCACGGCCCAGGGTGAGCGCTTCCGCCCCCTTCCCGCGAACCCCGCCCGTGGGACCTCAACGTTTATCCCGCGACTGGGAGGCCGCGGCTGACCTCCGATGCCCTTCCTGCCTGCAGGCTCCGGCCAGGATGCGGCCCTGGCAGTGCTGGAGGACCGGTTCCAGCCGAACATGACGGTGAGCGACATCTCCCCCCTACACACACTACGCGTGCATTGGTGGGAAGTGTACACCCGGGAGCTGGGGAAACGCAGAGGTACCCTGGCCTACTCTAGAGCTAGGCTTCTCGGAGGTGACGACTGAGTGGAGACTGAGGGTCCAGTGGAGTGAGGGTGAAGTGCTATTACAACAGTGCCAAAGCTTGGACTGTCCCAGAAGTCAAAACTCAGAGAGGGCCATTTGGTGTTGAGGGAGAAGGTAACAGCAGGTGGGGTCTGGAGTCTGGATTTTGTTTAGGGTGGATGGAAGCAGAAGGCATATGTCACTTTATAGGTGCTTATGGCCCAGAAAGAAAAAGGCAGTGAGCCAGGGATTGTGGGTGGGTGAATAGCCCACTGGAAGCAGAGCCACAAGTGACTCAGAGAAGTTTGTGAAGATGGGGGCAGTGGGAACATTGGGGTCTCTGGAAAGAGGGATACTGAAACCAGGGTAGAGGAGCCTGGGGTGGAGATGGTGATGTAGGGAGAGAGAGAAGTTTGGGTGTGAGAAAATGGTAAATAGTTCAGCCTACAAGATTAACAGTCTCCAGGCTGTAGCCTGAGGGTGATACTAAAGGGTCCATCAGGACTCACACACACACACACACATCTTTACAGCTGGAGGCAGCGCAGGAGCTGCTGGTGGAAGCCATCACTGCAGGGATCCTGGGTGACTTGGGCTCTGGGGGCAGTGTGGATGCATGTGTGATCACTGGGACCAGCGCCAAGCTGCTGCGAACACTGAGCTCTCCCACAGAGCCTATAGAGAGGTAGGAGCATAGGAGATGGGGGAATCACAGGGGAGGATGGGGTGGTAGCAAGGGAAATAGGGGGCTGCAAAGAGAAGACAGGCCACTTGATGAGGTCATCCTTTCTCCTTCCCAGGTCCAGCCAGTACCGCTTTGCCCCTGGGACCACAGCTGTCCTGTCGGAGACAGTGATGCCGCTGACCCTGGAGCTGCTGGAGGAAACTGTGCAGGCCATGGATGTGGAGTGAAGTAGGCTGAGGCTTAGAGCTTGGAACAAGGAGGAATAAACCCAGAAAACACAAATACCTAGACAGATGGCTGTGTCCTTCCTGGGTGGAGGGGGACAAGCAGCCAGCAGGGCTCTGTACCTAAGGTATCCCTGCAGGGGCCACTTCCTCCCATGGCTTCAGTGCCTAGCCTAAGGGGTGCACTTCACCCATCACCTTAGGCATCTACCCCTCCAGAACCCCAGCCCTGGGAAGTATCACAGGCTCAAAGTGGAAAGCCCCCCTCCTGACTCTCCACACTACAGAGCCTCCCCCTACCACTCCCATGCCTTGCTCTTGCCCTCTAGTCCACTGAGGGCTGTTGTACAACCCAAAAGGCCCTATGTATTGCCCCCACATAGAGCCTTTACCTGGCTCATCAGTGGCCAAGGACACAGCCCACAGCTCTCAGTCAGACCGCCCCCATCCCCACTGATGGCTAAAATGCTGGTGGAGGAGCTGCTCCCTGATTCCAAGGGCAAGTTCTCACTCCTCACCCCTACAATGCCTTTACCTGTGAAACCCCTCTGATGACCAGGCATACCTGAGGTGCTAACATGATGCTGAGCTTCTGTTTGCACATGTTGGGCTGTCACTAAGGGGATTGACTCCAAGTTTTCTGGGTGCCAGGGATCACAGGGCTCATGTGGGGGGAGATAATATGACACATTTATCCAGCAGACTTTTGCTGAGCACCCACTGAGTGTCAGCCCAGGTGCAGGTTGCTAGTGGGAGCATCCTGCCTTGGGAGAGAATGGCTGAGCTCCCCTGGAGCTTTGGAACTGTTAGAGTCTGCCCAACCCCTGGGGAGGGTCTACTCCAGGCTGGACATCCCTGGGTCCCCGTTTATGCTTTTTCCCTCAGTATTTTATTATGAAAATTTTAAAACATAAAATCTGGAAAAAAGTTGAACACCTATATACCCACTGCAGACTTTACAATTTGTATTTTGTTATATTTGCTTTACCATGTATCTATCCTTCCCTCTAGTCAGCAATTAACTCGTTTTTTTGACTGATGTGTTCTTGAATCAGCCAAAGCCCTCACACCCCTAGAAGGAGGCAAGCCAACTTACCTGTTGCAACTTTGCACACAGGGGTGTCTTCTCTCCCTTGGGTCAGGCTCACCTTGGGGCTCTACAGTGAATGGACTGTAGACACCAGGGGCTTGTCCATGGGAGCCCCAAGGCCTGGAGGCTGTCAGAGATTTGATGGCTGTCATTCTTCCACCCCTGATCTCCATCCAGGATCGGCCAGTCACCAAGGGCTCATACCTTGCCCTCCTGTGCACAAGGCCCCTCCTAGGTGTATCATCTCATCATGAACAGTGTGGGCTTTGGAGCCAGACAGATGAAGGTTTGGGTCCAAACACACCATGTGGCGGAAGAGTCAGCATCTCCCTGAGCAAACCGTGACACCCATTCCAAGTTGAAGAGGAATCACTGAGGTGATATGTTAGGATTTGCAACCCGCCAGCACCCCCGTCCTGGCCCTGGCCCTTCCACAGCAGAGCCGGTGCAGGTAGACATTCCCTCTACCAGTCAGGAACACCCCTGGGTGCTGAGCAGGCTTCTGTGAGTTTGGTGCTCCTGATAGCCCTGGGAGACTTCCCTGATCCCAGCCACCAGGTGGTTACCGTTAAGTCTAACCACAAGTCCTTGGTACCTGGTGCTCAACATTTGGGATGTGAGGTGGTTCAGGGATCCAGTCAGGGGCCAGGCTTTGGGAGGTGGAGGAGGTGAGAGCCTCACACCTGGGCTCTGTCTGATAAGTCAAGGCCTGAGTGGAGGACCTTGACCCAAAGAGACCCTCCTCCTGCCTAGAGCAAGGAGGAATAATGGCAGGGAGCTGAACCTCCACAGCTGCCTGGCCTCAGTCCTGGGACTTTGGCTCAAGGATGAAGAGAACCATAAAGCCAGGCCCAGTTCTCAACCTCACGCCTGCCACAGTGTTGCTGCTCAGCCTCATCCTTACCCTGGTCCTCCTTGGCTCCTCCTTGGGTAAGTGGGCCTGGCCCAGCCCTGACTGAACAGCCTTAGGGCAACCCAGCTCCCAGCAGCAGCCCAGGCTTCCTGCTCAGGGGCTCAGGGCAGGGGCCAGGCTGGCTAGAAGGGAAGCAGGTGGACAGAGTAGGCAAAGGAGAAAGGATGTGGCAAGGCTGGGCAAGAGGGGGTCAGGGGCCAGTCTCACAAATGGGACAGGAGCTTGGGCTGGGCCCAAGAGCCGGGGAGGGTTTAGGAAGCTGAGAAGCAAAGGTTGGACGTGTAGTTTAGGAAGAGCCTTCTGGCTGCATGTGGGGTATGGACCGTTGAGGTCTGGAGGGAGTGAAGAGGCTAGGAAGGAGACGGGAATATTCCTGGGGACAGGGAGAAAAATGGCCTGGGATTGGGGGTGGGGTGGAGTTGGGGAATGGTGGGGCATAGGTTGGAGAGAGATGAGGAAGAATGAACAGAACTTGGGGGCTGGTTGGATGGGGGCAACTGAGATAGCTATAGAGGCCCAGAGGTGCTCAGGGTGAGAATGGGTAGTGATGAGCCCTCTTGATTTGGACCCCTCTGGGGGGCACAGCCTGGGAGCACCCAGGAGGAGGAGAGGAGAGGTGTGCTGGGATGTGGGAAGCAGGTCCTCACCAGCCCAATGGTCAGGTTGTGGCGTTCCTGCCATCAGACCGGTGCTGAGCTTCAGCCAGGGGATTGTCAATGGGGAGAATGCAGTGCTGGGCTCGTGGCCCTGGCAGGTGTCCTTGCAGGTACATGCACCCTGGGTGTGGGGCAGGGTTTCAGGTGTTTCATGCCTGGGTGTAGCCTGGGCCCACCCCCACTTCTGACCCCTGACCCCAGGACAGCAACAGCTTCCACTTCTGCGGTGGTTCCCTCATCAGTCAGTCCTGGCTGGTCACTGCTGCCCACTGCAATGTTGTGTGAGTGCTTCCCTTCTACCTGCACCCCCCCCCAGCCCCCACCTCCCCACCCCCTTGCCCTGGAGGCCTCTCTCTTGTCACTCTGCCCTCCTTGTGGCTGCCCAACCCCGCTCTCACTGCAGCCCTGGCTGCCACTTTGTCATCCTGGGCGAGTATGACCTATCATCCAGCGCTGAGCCTTTTCAGGTTCTGTTCATCTTGCGGGTCAGTGCCTGGGCTGCAGATGGGGAAGGAAGAGTGGGCAGTGTAGGTGTGTGGGCTCTGGGGGTGAGGAATTTGGAGCATGCCCTGGCCTAGTCCCCTCAGCACCCATCACACTGGGGGCCTGTGCCCATCCCCATCTTGCATGGCCCCTTCCTGGCTCTGCACCCTTTCTGGAACCCCACCACCATGAACAACGATCTGATGCTACTAAAGCTCGCCTCCCCAGCCCAGTACACAACACACATCTCACCAGTTTGCCTGGCTTCCTCAAATGAGGTGCTGCCTGAAGGCCTCACGTGTCACCACTGGCTGCGGCCGCCTCAGCGGTGCGGGTAGGAATTTGGGCCAAAACTCTGGGTGGGAGGGCAAGGTGGGGACAAGTCATCTGGGACCTAACCACCCACTCCCGGCCCACAGGCAGTGTGACTCCTGCACGCCTGCAGCAGGTGATTCTGCCCCTGGTCACCGTGAGTCAGTGGCCAGCAATACTGGGGCTCACGCATCACCAACTCTATGATCTGTGCAGGGGCCTCGGGGCCTCCTTGTGCCAGGTGAGCACTGGCACCCTGTCCTGTCCTCTGCACTGTCCTGTGGCACTCCCACCCTCCACACTGACTTCTCCCCTCCTTCCATCAGGGTGAATGTGGAGGCCCGCTTGTCTGCCAGAAGGGGGACATGTGGGTGCTCACTGGTATTGTCTCCTGGGGCGCCAATAACTGCAACGTGTGTGCGCCTGCCACGTACACTCAGGTTAGCAAGTTCAGTACCTGGATCAATCATAGCCTACAACCAAGCCCACCACAGGCCCTCTCCCCGTCTCAGTCCAATAAAGACCCCAGGCTCTGTCCTCTTGTGTATGCCTGTCTGTCTTCCTGGTTCAGGGAAAAGCAGAGGCTAGGGCTTCCCTGGTGGCACAGTGGTTGAGAGTCCGCCTGCCGATGCAGGGGACGCGGGTTCGTGCCCCGGTCCGGGAAGATCCCACATGCCTCGGAGCTGCTGGGCCCGTGAGCCATGGCCGCTGAGCCTGCACGTCCGGAGCCTGTGCTCCGCAACGGGAGAGACCACAACAGTGAGAGGCCTGTGTACCGCAAAAAAAAAAAAAAAAAAAGAGAGGCTCTTGGGGGCCCCATTCCCCAAGCGGAGTTTGTCTTCTGGCACGGCAGGTGTTGAGGAGTTAGGATCCTCCTAGACTAGCCGTGACCAGGTTGGGCTCTTCCCATCTCCCCACCGCCTCCTGGGCAACCTCTTGTCCACAGCAAGAGACTGGGCTGTTGGAATGAATGGGCAGCTTTCCCTGGGGAAGGCAGCCTGTTTATTGAGTACGAAGGATACATTTACAAACTTGAGTACACAAAATAAATAACTGCACATTCTCCATCCACAGTCCATGGCATAAAGGCCCAAGTCTCCAAACTCCCTCCGTCCTACCTTCAGGACCAGGCCCATCCTGGCCAAAAGAGGAAATAAATCCCCAGAGGCACTTGGGGAAGTAGGGGGAATTCTGAGGCCATGGGGCTTGGGCTTTCCACTGCCTTGTGCTAGGAGAACTGGAGACAGGAGGAGGGGGTGTACAAGGCACGAATGACTTGGCCCAGAGTGGTCTCTTTTGGCTTGGTTTCCCACTGGAGGTGGCACATGCAAAAAGAAGAGGGCCTAGCCCAAGGGAACCCACTGGGAGGAACTAAGAGCCAAACCCTCCCTGCTGGCAGGGGACCTGCAGTCCAGCTAAGGCTAAAGCTGGGCCCTGGCTCCTTCCCACCCACTGAAAGCAGCTGTGGAGGGACAGGGCTTGGGTTCCAGCCCCGTCTGTGGTGGTGGGGAGGCACCATGACTGACGCGGGATGGTCTGGCTCAGACCTCTGGGAAAGCAGCCACCCAATTCCACCCACCTCTCAGAGGGGCTCCCTCCAGACGGAGATTCAGCGGGGCCCAGAATGGAAGGGTAATGCTGTGAAAAGAAGCAGGGACAGGCTGGACTGAGCAAGGCCACCGTGAGAAGGTCAGTGCCCCAGGCACTCAGGGTTCAGAGGCAGGTCACACAGTATGGCTAAGTTCCAGGGGGAGCTGCGCAAAAGCTCAGCAGAAGGGGATAGGGTTGAGCACCCCGGGGACCCTCCCTCAATGCAGCAGCTCCTTCCTTCCGACTTCCTCTTGGAGGATAAAGGGAGAGCATGGTGCTCATTCCTCGGCCGCCCATACTCATGCCAGACACTAGATGGCTCCTTCATGCAGCTGCAGAGGAGGGAACAGCAGCACCTGAAGGGAAAGGCAACACCAAGGGTGGAACCCAGGCTGACACTGGAATCCTGATGGGGCTCTCCCTCGGAAGCCCCTGCCCTTTGCTTTGGCCCAGGTGCCCCCATCCCCCAGGTAGCAGCAGTGGGGCTCCTTTTAACCCCGCACAGTTGGGAAGGAGGCACCTGGGGAATAGAATGGGCATCCAAGGGGGAGAGGGAGGTGATAGTAGGCTCTGTAAAGAAGGCACTGAGTGCAGTAGGCTGGTGGGCAGGAACTCTCATAGTCAGAGAGAGGCTGAAGCCTGGAGCAAGCCTGCTACCAACATGGCCACACAGTCCAGAGGGCCAAGGACCATTCCACGGTCCTACCACCAGAGATCCTGGCAAGTCCTGGGGCCGGGAGGGGTCCCCAGGGGCACCATGAAGGAAGACAGATCTTGGCTGGGAGGTGGGAGGCTGTTTAGACTCAGCCAGGGGCTGAGAGTCCAGCCAAGGCACAAGCTGTGGGCCTACCTGGGCCTCTCACTGGAGCATAATCATGAGGATCAGGATGCCATGAAATGTGGGGCGGGGGGAGGGCAGACAGGAAGGCTTGGTAGAGGAAAGGGGGGATTCCAGAAGTAACTGTCCCAAAGAGTCCTGGGACCACAAGACACCCTCTACCTGGCACTGCATGCTCCTTTGGTCTAGGGAAGAGCCAAGAGGTGAGGAGACTGAAGGCCAGGTCCTGCCCTTCCCCCAATATGTACCAGAGCAGTTGTCCACCAAAAGGAGCATTAGTGCCAGACCAGGCTCCCCGTTCAGGGGGCTCTTATGCCCCAGGGCTCCCTCCACTCTGTCGCACCAGACTCAGGCCCAGGGTGAAGATGGGGACTGCTGAAGGCACAGAGAAGGGGCTGGGGCCATTCACCTACCACTGACCATACAGACCTATCTCTAGAGAGGGCGGTGGGTCCAGATGGCACAGCAATGTGTGGCCAGGCTGGGGCCATGCCATGTCAGCACCCCAGCCTGCCAGCTCAGCCATTGTACTGCTGCTGGTAGCGCAGGTTGAGCTCCCGCAGCTCTCGCTCCCGCACTCGGCGAGACTTGTTGGATCGTGTAGAGCGGCTGGAACGCGTGGACTGGGCAGATTTGGTGCTCTGGCAGCGCGAGGAGGCGCGTTTGAGGAGGTTCTGGGAGATGGAGCGGTGCAGATTCTTCATAGACGAAGAGGCTGCCATGCTCACCACCCACGGATGCCTCAGGGCCTGCAGTGCCGTCATACGGGCGCCGGGGTCCACCGTCAGCAGGCGGTCAATGAAGTCCTTGGCCAGGTTGGACACACTGGGCCAGGGCTAGAAGCCAAGGACAAGCATTAGAGCGAGCACACTCAACATTGCCCTGAACATCCCGATGATGTCACCTACACAGCACTCAGACCTGTCCAGTAGCCCTGCACTCTCCCCCTAGAGAGAGGAACTGCCCGGCTCCTCTCACGTAGAACATTCCGGGCCTCCCCTTCCCACCCAGTGCTGACCCAGGCCACTGAGCAGAGGCTGCTCTCTGAGTGACAAGGAGTGTGATAGGAGGAGAAGGACCCACCCCCTCCCTGAGGAGCAAACTTCAAAGATGCCCTGGACTCAAAGCCTGGTTCAAGGAGGTGGCCCCCGTCAAGACCACCCAACCTACACCAGGACCACCATAACATCAGGGCGATTTAATGAGAACGACCCAAACCTTCCACCATATCTTGAGCCGGACTTAAGCTCCCATCACTGGATGCCCATACTGAGTCACTTCCTAGTCCTTAGAAACAGGGTCTGCCCTCCCTTCCAACTGAAAAAGTGGCCAAAATAATCACTGCATTCTCTGCATCAGCCTCAGCCTCAGCCTCTCAGCCATGAGGAGAAAGGAAACAATTCAAGGCAACTAGATTTCTCCATCTGCTGGGATGGCAGGGGGATCCTGGGAGCCCAGCAGGGATTAGGACCCTTCTCAGGGGTGCTTCTCATGTCTGCATGACCTCTCTAAGCCACACAGGGGCTCCTGGCAGTACCCTGTGCCAGCCTCGTTTTAGTACATTCTTTCCTCAGCACAAAGCCTGCTCTGCTACATGCACCCACGGCTGCCTCATCTCAGCCACACACCAAACAGCCATCTGTCTCAGGGCCTCAGCCCGCACAAATTGTCTTCACCTGGCTGAATCCTCAGGTTCTCAGGTTAAAGGACACTTGCTCACACTCCCTCTCTTAGCCACCAGTGCTAAGCAACTATTCGAATAATTTCAAGTTTATTGTTCCCATTAGACCATGCTTAGCTATTCACCAGTGCCTGGTGCCGGGCATACAGGAGGCACTCAGAAGACAGGGGCTCAGAGAGTAAACAACCCATGCATGGCACCTGATGGGTGCCCTCTCCTGCAGCTGCTTCCAGCATGTGGGGCTCAGATGCCCGGGCCCTTGACTTACTCTGCTGAAGGAGGGCAGATGCAGCACTTCTCCGAGTCCCTGCATCTCTTGGGAGCACTCTGGCACGGGCTCTGACACTCTCCAAAGGGTGGGTGGCTAGGACTTCTGCTGAGCCTGCTCCAGGTGGTTCGGCTGGGATGCCAGGTGTCCTATCACCCTCCTTCCTGTCTGGTGAGAGGTCTAACTGTTCTACCCCGTGGTGCCCTTCACCTTGAGGAGCCCCTGAACACACTCTCCAAGGGGCTCCGGAAAGTCTGAGAGCCCACATTTGGGGTAGCTGCATGCCCACTCAGCAGACACACTAACACAGTTATCGCTACCCCCAGTCAGGCTTCCTTGACCCCCAACTCTTCCCCCATGCCTTTCCCCACTGATGTCGATGTACTGGGAGGCAGTGGGTGGGGTGGGGTAGGAAACAAGGAAAAGACTCATCTGGAGTCCTGAAGAAGGGGTGGAGCTACTTGTAGTTGTTATCCTTACCTGCCCTTTGGAAGGCAAATCTCAACTTTTACTGAGCTGAACTGGAAGAAAGTCACAGAAAGCCCAGATTTCTAAACAGCCACCTAACAGGGTCCTCCTCACCAATGGGCCAGCTCCCAGTGATTCCTGGTAAGCGACTTGCCTCCAGGAGGAGGGCAGTTCGGGCCCATAAATCCCGTGCTGTCTGAGAGCAGTGAGGGAGAGCAAGGAGCAACAGCCCTCCCATGCAGGCAGCCTGGTCCACATTTCCCTGCAGGCCTGTGTAACTCAGGGCTCTGATACTGAGGCTGACATGCAGGGTGACTGGACTAGACAGTTGCCACAGTAGCTGTGGGCTCTCAGTTCAAGAAAGCCCCATGGCTTGCTGCTGCCACCTGAACACAAAGAGCCATTGTGAGGGGCCAGCCAATCTAGACCACAGACACACTGTGGCCCCTGTCACTCATTTGAGAAATGGAGAGACGCAGGCATAATGGGGCCACTGATGGACAAAGCAAACCTAGAGCTGGAACAGGTCATGGGAATACCTGTGCTTGCGCTGCACTGCGGCTTTTATGGTCTCCAAGAAAAGGAGAAATCACTGGGGAACACACTGCAGCTCAGCCTAGCCTGTTGGTGGGACAGCTCCAAGACAGAGCTGCCAGCCCAGGCCAGCCAAACAGGGCTGGGACATGGATTCTGCCCCTGGCCCTTGGTCCAGTCAAGCCAGAAGAGAGGCAACTCCTCTGCAAATGACAGAATAAAAAGTGGCAAACCTGGACTCACAAGTCAGGAACCTGAACACGGATGGATTGGAGGCATCCCCACTTCATAACCATACCCAGCCAAACAAACCAAGGCCCCCTGCAGCTCCAAACCAGTCCAGTGCAGTCTCAGATGGGCCTCCCACTAGACACGCACTGTGGGCTTAAGCATCTCCACCTCCAGAGTGACACAGGCTCACACCAGCTGTCAACCCCTGCTGCTTGTTGCCATGATCGCCAAAGTGAGCCGGATTGATCTGCCCCTCCTCCTCCCCCAGGTGCTCGCCTCTCCAATTACCTGGTACAGGCAGCAGTGTGAGGAATGCTGATGGGCTCATTAGTCTGAGGGCCTGCCCACCCTCTTTGGCAGGCCCCAGCTCTCCCCATCTTTGAAGAACTGTGCGCAGCTGGGTCCCCTAAGACAATGTGACTCGAGCTGTCCTGACATGAGAACCGGGCTGTGCAATGGCACCCAGCCTAACCCTCACACACTGAGGGACCTGCAGCGGGAAGTCAAACAGGACAAACACGGGAAGGTGGTCCTCGAGCCAGCCCACTGACAGCGGGGCAGGGGCTTATGTTGACCTCCAGAATAGTGGCCCCTTGGAGGTCTCCAACAGGGCTCACAAAGGAGAAGCAAGGCCTTCCACACTCACCCATGGCCACACTTCTGGCCAAGTCCAATTCAGCACCTCCTGAAAAAGCGATCGGGACCTCCCTGGTGGCACAGTGGTTTACATTCCGTGCTCCCAATGCAAGGGGCCCGGGTTCGACCCCTGGTCAGGAAACTAGATCCCACATGCATGCCGCAACTAACAGTTCACATGCCACAACTAAGGAGCCCACGTGCCGAAACTAAGGAGCCAGCAAGCCACAACTAAGAAGCCGGCAAGATGCAACTAAAGAGCCCTCAAGCAGCAACTAAGGCACCCTCGAGCTGCAACTAAGGAGCCCGCCTGCTGCAACTAAGGAGCCCACGAGCCGCAAATAAGGAGCCCACCTGCCGCAACTAAGACCCAGCACAACCAAATAAAAAAAGAAAAAGAAAGCGATCAACACATGCAGACCAACCCACCTGCTTCCCCAACATGCTCAGGCCTCTGGAGCCACATGAGTATGTCTGGCAGCCTCTGACTGACTGGCCAGGTAACATTCTGTTCCTCATATGCAGCCAAGTGAGGAAAAGAAAAATGGGAAATTCCCTGGCAGTCCAGTGGTTAGGATTCCACTCTTCCACTGCAGGGGGCACGGGTTTGACCCCTGGTCGGGGAACTAAGATCCCACATGCCGCACAGTGGAGCCAAAAGAAAGAAAAAGAAAAATGGGCATGAGGAAAAAGGAAAATGATAAACTGTCATGCTCTTCAGTTTCCACAGCTCTAACTGCCAGCTGTGGGTAAAGGAGAGATATACTTTTGCCTCAGTATACTTGGGGCCAGATCAGGGACACATGTAAGCCTCAGGTGGGTGGCAGAAGGGACAGGCCCCAGGTACCACCTGGCCAGTCTCCTAGAGGCTTCCACCCATTTCTGGGCTGACAAAGAGCATGGGGCATGAAAGGGAATATCAAAATGTCAGTCGGCCTTGCCTCCAGACACTCAGGCCTCCGTGAGACCTGAGTGTGCAGAGGACAGCTGCAATACTCAGGGTGACAGCCCGCACCCTCCTGTCCAGAAGTCAATCTTTCATGAGCTGTGTGGGTGAGGGGTCCTGCCCCAAGAGGAGGACAAGAAGAGGCTGTAGGAGGAAGGGTATCACCTCCACCCTGTTTCTGACCATCGAGCTGGCTGCCCTTCTGCCTACCCTGTAACCCCCAGAGTCCTTGCATTTCAGATACCTACTCCTGATGCTGTAACAGCAGAGAAACCAATAGGGTAGAAGAAGGATCTCCCCCATGAGTACTTCCTAACCAACTTCACCCTCCTCATCGCTCTGCTTCTGTGAGACCAGTCACTCCTGGTGACACTCAGCAGCTGAATCCAACTCTCCCTTCAGAGGGAGGCACCAGACCAGAAGGGGTTTGCCACTCCAGCTCAGAGGACACACTTCCTCCCGTCCCAGTCTCATTCACTTGCTCTAGCTCTAATGTCACAAGGGCCTGGCAAGAATGTTACCCAAGCTACTTCCATGGTCCTGCCTTGAGCCCCAGGGCTAAGGGAACAAGGGCTGGAACCAGCTCTCGAGGCCTAGGCTGCAGAGGGAGGAGGA